ACGATCGAAACCAACAACTTGCCTAGTTGTTGGATAATTTTACCTTTAATCAGCATATTGGCGGTCAAAATCTCGTGCACTGAAGCCCCTGTGCACATCTGATGATGGCGAATAAGCCAGGGAGACAACTGTAATCTCCCTTATCTTTTTAAGTAATCTTACTCTGCCTAACATAATATCCGCTGTGCGAATGTTGGCGAAGTTTCAGATTAAAAACTAACACAAAATGGAAAAAGCGGGTCATTTAGTTGGTTATTTAGCGTTCACTTTTTATGAAACATGCACCACATATGTATATTAAATGCGAGATACATTATAATTATAAGACATATATGCAGGTCATTGTCGTAATCATAACAAACAAAAAGGTTGGTCTTTGCAGGTACAAAGTTAAGAAAACTACTTCCTTTTCTAACGAATACGAACAAACTATCTTACTAAGGTATTTATTTTCTAAGTTACTATGAAGGCAGTAGATCATATTATTAAAAACATCATAGCCTTTGATTTGCGTTTGCTTCTCACATGTGGTCAAAGAGCAGTACATATAAAACATACATCTTTTTCGGACTGAAATATATTTGCCAATAAAAACAAGCATGCGTATTTCAGGAAGTACTTGAGAAGGAGACGACTCGATCACTAGACAATAGTTTTATTCAATATTGCCATGCGAGGCTACGCAAATACCGCTAGATACTTAACTAAGAGAAGGCAAAATGCCGTGTGTTCACGGGAAAAGACAGCAAAAGACAACTTTACATGCATAAAGAAGGATCAGTTTTTTTCTATTTTATCACCCTTCATAACCCAGCTCATTTTTGAAAGAGACACGGTAAGTATCAAACCTGTTTTATTAGTATTAAATTAATTTACTCTTCCATGTAACTTTCGTTCTTTTTTGTACAAAACTCTTGCTCTCCAATGTTAAAGAAGGTCTGAAAAGAATTAAATACGCAAAGAAGACCCAGTTGAACGAAAATGTACAACATATTTGGGAGTTTAAATATCTCTACAGTTTAACTGTTTTTAACAAAGCAGGGAGTATATTTTTATGGAACTATGGAGAAGTTATTGCAAATTTAGCACAAGAGGGAAAAAAGAATAGAACGGCCTTCTAATACATATCCTGTAGAGCTCATTAAAGGAATTGAGATTTTTCATATGTTCTCCTACTTATTAAATACTATGCCACCCCGCAAAATGTATTCGTTAAAAGCGTAAAAATTAAAGAATAAAAACTCTTTTAAGAGCTTCAACACAAACGGTCGTTGCTCAGTTAGTGGGGTTTAAGGGATTGATGCAAAACTTTAAGAGGGCTCATGCTCTAATTTATGGGCTATCAACTGCAAGTATTTTAATTAGAAAGAAACCCACGCAACTTAATCCTTTTACATCATATGACGTTGCGTACAAACTGTTAGGCTGCGTTTATCATTAAAATCATGGTTTTCTACTAGCATTTATTTTAATTCTTATGACAGTTGCATAAGTTCAAGTAAAACGGCACTTAAAAACGAAAGACGTTGAGCACACATAACGCAGTGAGCAACTGTACTCTCATTATCAGTCACGGATATCGGTAAAATACGTCAATGAGTCTTTTAATAATATGCGTGCGTTCGAATCAGTAGATAAATGATCACCACATAATTTGGGTGCATCAAAATCTTGCCCTTTTACAACTTCCCTAGTAATCTTCACAATTTCGGGTTGACAGACAATTGCTGGTCATGCTGTGTTAATAAAAATAAAATTACCTTTAGGTTTGTCAGACTGCTTACGGGCCTTTGAGCTTGAATTTGATCTAACGTCTCGAGTACCCAATCCAATTCGCAGAGAGTTTCTGTTGCAAGTTTCGCAATTCTTGTTGTGTCGTCTGTGCCTAAAAGGGGAAATAACAGGTTAGTATCCTTAAACACACTGCAGATTTTGGATATGTCTGAGTAAATGCAGGACGCAGGGGGAAGGTCATTTAAAATGTGGCAGTTTGCAAAGGATATTTATCAGTCGAAAACCGAAATTAACGCATTTACGAAAACGTTGAAATATTAATAAACAATTTCGGTTGCATTTTTTTGAATCCTGAATCAGTTCATTACAGATTTTGCATTTACGTGAGTATCAACCGTATCTCCGGGAAGGTCGTGCGAAATGCCGATGTTGGCGAAAGATTAATACCTACACGCAAACCGCCATTAACGCACATACGAAAATTCAGAAGTAATAAGAAAGCAACATTGGATGCATTTTTACTAAAGATAAAAATTCCCCTATAATATTCACGTTATGCAGACGTAAAAAATAGCTTTAAATGAGCAAAATCAATTTAAATCTTATTTTTAGTTGAATTGATGACCATGCATCTAGCAAAGCTCCACGCATGTGGGCGGTCTTAACAATCACGTCTTTTTCTGCAATCCAATTTTTCTCGCCATATCTTCCAGCCTCTGCAAACTGGCACTTCATTCAGTAGCGTCAGTAATGCGTCTCTTTAGGTGGCACGTCGCTTTCCTTATGAATCTTGATATGTTGCATGAAGCAAGCGAGGCATGCTCAATAGTGGCTTAAAAGTATGCTTACTTGCCATTTTCTAAGTGTCAAGTGCTTACTGCATATTTTGTTCACTGGTCCAATTCTACATTGTTTCCAGGTAGAAGAATGTTACATTTTTTTGTTAACGTAATTTACGAAGTTCCCGGTAGTAGGCTGGGCCAGATTGGCAAACAG